CTCTCTCTCTCTCTCTCTCTCTCTCTCTCTCTCTCTCTCTCTCTCTCTCTCTCTCTCTCTCTCGCCCTCTCCCTCGCCTTACCTCCCCGAGTCGAAGGTGCTTGACAGCCATGGGCTTGGCCATCACGCCCGCCTCGTCGGCATCCCGGGTCGAAGCATCCTCCTGTCGGCGCCGCGAACCCGACGATGATTCTAGTCAGGGGTTGTCACTGCTGTGATGAAAAGGACCGCCTAACAGAACCATGGCAGGCTACTGCGGCGGACATGACCACGAAGAGAGGATCGTTGACACAGTACGCTATCGCCGTGGCAACCGACACCACAGGATTGACTTCAAGAACTCCTGCGCACAAGAAAAGGTAGGAATCACTCGGTACTGAGAATAGAACCAACGTTCGTTGGTCGTGGAACTCGCCGCACGCTTGCAGGGTAACTGTCAACATGAGAGTCGGTGTCGGCCACCAAGGCATCCAGCGCCTTACCATGCGTACCTTAGTTCCAGGTGTCGCTGCTGCTACCGCTGTAGACCCGTGTTGCGAGACACGGCCACTCTCGAGTAAATCGTCCACCCCGGCATCGCCTGCGGAATCGAAACATCCACAAAAATCGAACCATAACAGTGCTTAGAAAGCGAGTGAATCGATGCACCCGCGGCGGCCATTCGGGGAGCAGAAAAGGCGGGCGCCAGGCAAGAAGGATGCCATCGAATCCCAATCAGCGAAGAAACACAACAACATAGCGTCACATGATGCGCGCCCACCATCGAACAGCACGTACTTGCAGGGTGGAGGTCACAACTGGGGGTTGAACGACGTGCCGTAAGCGCTAGAGTCTGACCGAATAACATACAACATCGAAGACCACGACGTTAGTAGGATTCCAAGCGCCAAGGTTTTCCATTTCCATCCCCTCCGGCCCAAAAAACACAATCTCTGCGCGATACCAGAAACGGATTCCACGGTGGCTGGAAACTCACCGACGTTCCCCGACCGAGCCCTTCCGCCACGTCCAGAGCCAGCCGCAGGCGCTGCACCAGAGGGAAGCAGAAATAAACAGCGAGTAGGTGCTGGGAATTCAGGGCGGCCTCGGGCACAACGCAAATACACGATGAGTGTTTCTGCGTGGACTATACTCGATGAAGGCAATCATTGTGTGGAGCATCCGTTACAAGACTGATGCCGCAAAGCTCTGAACATTAATGCTCTTGCTCGGTCTTCCTGCTTTAGCCTCCGCTGCAGCCGTAACAGCCCAGAAGCCCATGTCCCGGTTTCTACCTAATATGTATATCCACACGACATCCGCGCCCGTCTTGAAAATAGAGAACAACCCCTCGGCGAAGATCGTGCAAAGTCTTGTTGGTGAGGAGGTGAGAAACGTTTTGACAACGGCGACACTCACGGAATGCTGTGCGTGTTGCAGCCCTCCGGCCGTCTACTGCACGTCGTGAATTGCATGCGACCACACCCAGTCGGGGGGCCTCCCTCGCCACACCCGGCTCCGCCGTTACCCTACGGTACAACAGTTAGTGATTGGACACCTCCTAGATCGGCCCTTCATGACTCGAATGTTCCACAACCGAGGAGCGGTCAGTGTCGAAGAAGACAAGGGTACCTTAGAGCTGCGATTGCCCGAACACATACACACTTGGGCCGACTTTTAACAGGTCGATTGCTTCGCAACAACGAGGCTTCCAATGCCGAAAAAGAAAAAACGGTTTCGTTAAAATGATCGCGTTCAGAGCGTCCCTTGCACGTATCGGTCCGTTCTCGACTTCTCTCTTGGCTGGCTGTGGATAACATACGGAGTGTGAGGTCATGCACATCGTTCGATACCCTGGTCTTCTGCAATAGTCTAAGACTACTTTGAATTCCTGTGCCCCGGAAAACGGCACCAAACGGGGAGAGCAAAGGGCGGGCTGTCAAGAGTCAGGCTCATTTGCTTTAAACTTCCACGCTAATCCCGAATGGGCACTGTGTGATCCGGACCTGGGGGAATCATTTTCCGCTAACGAGCGGTCCCAAAGAAAAGCACTCAAACGACACATGAAAAGATGACGGTCATAGTAACTCATGGCGGTAGTTATCTTCACATGTAAAGAACCTATATATGGTCCTATTTCCCACGACCGTACGTATTGTCAAGCAATCCAGCGCATACATACCACCGAAGTCCGGGCGCACTCACAGGCAGCAGGAAGCCCGGAGGTGACGGAAGAAGTGGAACAGGAACTCTTGCCCTTCCAAGAGCGTCGGAGGCGGCTTCGCCCCAGCCCGGACCTACCCTGCTTCGTCTTGGTCTTCCTCGACGTGAGGAAAGACGCCTTGATCTGGAACAAGAGGTTTGTTGTTTTGGTTGGTTCGTGGGCTTCATTTGTATTCGTACTTGTTGTTGTTCTTGTTCTCGTTGTTGTTGTTGTTGTTGTTGTTATTGTTGTTGTTGTTGTTGTCGTCGTCGTCGTCGTCGAATCGAGAATGGTTCGAGTGTTCCACCAAGTCTCCCCACTTGTGCGTACTCACATGTGTGCATAAAATGTGTGACCATGAAGTGAAGCTGTATAAGATAACTGGATTTAATGCGTGGCGGCAGATTGATGCGCGTGAGAATAGAACACTGGGGGGGGAGAGGGATGCCGTCTACGACGTAGACTACGACAGCAGAGGGTGCTGTCACTGTCGAAGCTGCCGAGTGATCTCAGGTACAAATCATTCGCACCATCTAGTCCCACCCTTCACATACATGCGATAAGAAGTCAATGAAGCCTACAAGGAGCGTGAGGTAGGCACCGAAACCAAGGGGGGTGCAAAAGCAGCAACCTCGCCCAAACTCAACATGGAGACCAACTCGTGACCGTGGCGCGTGCATTGACCTTTTCCCCATTGCCTTACAACGCGCCCCTGAGTCGTGTGGACATCGACAACAACGAATCGTGACCACGACAGAAGATTTGTAAATTTTTCGTTTTCGTTCGTTGGGGTCTGTTGGGCTCTTCGAGTGAAAAACACATCAGCGATGTGAGCCATTGAGCTTGGCACACATCAGAACTGGTAGCTGGGAGCCAGCTGTGGGCTGGTTCTTCTTCTTGTACTTCATCTAACATCGCCCGCACGATGACACGGTACTCTCATGAGCTCTCTCCAGAGGGATCCCTCACTAACCCGAACCTCATCTGCTATTCCTCTCACGTTCAACTCCGCGCTCCGGGACATATTGAGCCGCCGAACAACGAAATGCGCCCAAAGTAGACGTACTTCAAGTATTCGAATTCACACACCTATGCTAACTCGAGAGCCGTACAACAGCAACCTAAAAGACCACGCTTTTCGGCGACGGNGGGGGGGGGGGGGGGGGGGGGGGGGGGGGGGGGGGGGGGGGGGGGGGGGGGGGGGGGGGGGGGCACGAGGGGTCTCAGGTGTATGAGAGGACACGTCGCGAGCCCGCACTACCTGTGCCAATTATCGCTTCAAGAACGCTATCAGAAAGGAACTGAGTGGAGACGAAATCATTCCAACGTGTGACAACCGCAACAACCGCAACAACAACAACAATAACAATAACCATTTGCATAGACTAAACGGACAAAACATGCACGCGCCAAGACACGGCAACCCACCTGCTCTTCACGCTGCGTCGCCCCCGAATCTACGGTTCCGGCAGACGATAGAGCCGCCACGGCCTCCGAAGAAAAGGCGGATAGGTCGGTGAAAAGGGACCGCCGAAGGTGAAGCACCAGCGGGAAAACAGCCGCCTCGAAGTGACGAACCAGGGTCATTTCTCTGAGAGTTCCAAAAAACGCAGGATGAGGGAGGGGGGGGGGGGGGGGGGG